TCCTTTTCAAATGTAATTTAAAGTTCAGAGCAGAGGGAGGGAAGGTCCCCCACTTCTGTTATTTTTGTGAGGCGTGGACTCAACACAATGTTTGTCATAGGAATGCATTGTGTTTGGATATTTGTATGGTTTTCGTGAAAATGAGGTTTCAGGATTTATTTAAACACATGATATTCAATGTTAAATACCAAAATGCATTGAGAAGTCTGCTTAACTTTCTGAATAAGGAAAGACTGCAGACAGGAAGAAAGATATTATAGTAAGAGAAATTGTCAGACCAGGCCAAAGGTTCAACTAGTCTGGTACCTTTTCTCTGCAGTTGCCAACACTATAAGTTTCAGAAGAAAGTGTAAAATCCCCACATTGTTGAAGCTTAATAATAAATAAACAACAACAATAATAATAATGGTGCAATACTATACCATAGAGGGAATCCCTTCATGTCCTCAGCTGATGATCAGCTTATGAAATTAAGTTTGTTAATTACTGTAGTTTTCATTTTGCTAGTATAACTGCTGATATTTCAAAACTCTAAATATTTGCACATTTTAAATATTTGCATGATTTGATAAGACTATTCCCCTCTGATTATCTAATTTAAATGCTTTATGTCTAAATAAAATAGGTGAAATTCTGTTCTCAGATTCACCAGTGTAGATCCATTGGAGTCAGTGGGGTTACAATGATGTATGTGAGAGGAGAATTAGGCTCAATATACAGTATCTGTATATAGATTGATAAAGGATGGATTGGAACTCTGCTGTACGATACTGAACTGAAATATCCTATTAGTGCAGTGCAACTGGATATGATGCAAAAACAGCCATCCTGAGAAAGTCTTATTGAAGAATTTTTGCTTCAGAGGGTTTGTCTACATGGTGTAGCAATGCCCACTAAAGGGGTGTGAATTTTAAAGAGCACCAACATGCTGTGTACTAACTGGCCTCTCTAGACCCTGGTAGCGCACACTAAATGCTCCCTAGTGCATGTTCCTGTAGTGCTGTTGAATCAGTAACTATGTTACCGCGCAGTAGGGAACATTTAGTGTACACCAGCAGCAGGTGTGAAAGTAACTTAAAGGACTTACTGGTACTCCAGAGTCCTTAGGAGGGGGCAGGGCCTCAGCCGGAAGAGGCGTGGCCTCTACCAGAAGAGGCGGGGCCTTTGGAGCCCCAGGCACTTTAAATCACCATCGGAGGGGGCTCCCGGCTGCCGCTGCTACCCCCAGACCCCAACCTCTGGTGGAGCTTTAAAGGGACCGGGGCTCCGGGGGCGATTTAAAGGGCCCGGGACGGTACCTGCAGCAGGCGACCAGGCCCTTTAAATTGCCACCAGGGGAAGTCAATCCGCCCCGGTACAGCGCACCAGCTCTTGCTGGTACGCCGTACCGGGGCGTACCGGCTTACTTTCACCTCTGACCAGCAGGGTCTACTTGGGCCAGTTAGTGTGCAGCATGCGGTGTGCTTTAGAATTCATAACCCTCTACCATGCATTATCAAGCTGTGTAGACAAACCTTGTGACAAATTAAGCTATTAAGACGTTAATTTCAAACACTGATTCTAGAAACTGCTCAAAATATAGAATGCTGTAGCATGTAAATTACCTATAAGCATTATAAGATACTGATTGTCAAAAATAAGTTCTGAAGCATACAATATCTCTTATGCTTTATTTGCTTTTTTATACTATGGTTCACAACAAAGTTATATTAAATAAAAACAATAACATTGGAAAGAAGATTTAGGCTGCCATCCAGCAAAGCACTTAACTTGCTTAATTTTATCCACGTGAATAGTCCTTGTTGAAGGTGATGGTGATTAAATTTAAGCCCATATTTAAACGTTTTGCTGGACCAGGGACATAGTGGAAGAATACTATGAGAAATAGGAAAAAACAAATGAAACAAAAACACTGCTCTGTCATATCAAACTCCAGTATAAAGCAGTGTGGAAGGGTTTTTAGAACATTAGTATTTGTGATAACATATAAAACTTGGAAATAAATAGATTAAATATTTATTGTGTGAATAAAGATGGATCTAAGTGAGGATGCAAAAATGTGAACACCTTCAAAATACAGTTATCTGCAGGTAGATTGAATATTGACAGGTACAGTATATATGTACCAAAAACAAATATTCACAAAACTCCCCCAAAAATGGGCAGTGACTGTTTAATCTTTTTTAAAGTAGTGCAGCTCTACTCATTGTAATTGGAAGAGCAGGTGTGGAGATAGGTCTAGAGAAAACTGAAAACTTAGTTTTCAGCTGCGCCTCCATCCAATCTCCATTTCTGCAGGTGTTTTTGGGCAGCTGTAGTGAACTGCACATATAAATATCAATCATTCACATCTAACTACCAGATTTGTGGGAGCAAAATTGCAACTGCAAAAATGAAGGCCATATCTAAAAATCTTGGTTTTAATATTTAATTTTCCCCCCAAACTGGAAAAGTGGAGAAAACACCAAAAGATGTATATTACAAGTTATAAGGTAGCTCTCTACTCTTCTGATTTTACTAAGTGCTTTCATAGTACTAAAAGGGGCCTAATCCTAATCCTAAATCAGGCCTCTTTTGGGGCCTAATCCTAAAATCATTGATTTAAATACCTTATTTAGGTAAACTCCTCTCAAAACCATGTAAATTATTTGGATTTCAATGGCAGTTTTGTTTGGGTAAAGATTTCAGAATTTGGCCCAAAGCAATGATGTTGTTTTATGGAAAATCCTTTAACATAAATAAAATATTCTAGGTGACTCTTAAATGTTTTGGTCCTGATTCTGATCTCACTTAAATCACTGTAATTCAGAATCAACTGAGTTAAAGTCAATGAAGTTAAGTCAGTGTGAGATCAAAATCAGGCCACTGAGTAATAATAGTACTCAGAATGTAGTGATGCTCAATAAAGTGAACACTCATTAGTTTTAGAAAACATTGTACATTACTCAACTGTCAGCCCTTTGGACTTAAATTCTGAATGCAGAATCTGTGACAAGCATCTCCCAAACTCTTCCAAGATCATTTGCTCTGCTAGACAAACAGAGTAAGCTTCTTTTTCTGCCTCTTCAGCTTGTGCCAGGAGACAAGCACATGTTGCTTCAACCACTTCCCAGGATATACATGTAGTAGGTCGCCTGTCAGGAAAAAACAACAATATAAAATATTTGAATAGTAAACACTCAATATGCGAAAGACAAATTACACTCTACTAAACTTACTGAAACTGAAACTACATAGAGCTGAGTCACAGTAGTTGCACTATTTCTAGATAGCATATTCTTGTGGGACATCTTACTCCTCTACTCGTAACAGCTCTAGAAGCCAACAAGCTGCTTCTGAATCCTTCTAATTAATCACATGTAAGATAGTGTTCACCCTAAGGGATAAGTGCATCCAAGAGCTGCACACATAGTACAAGTTGGGAACGATGGTGCAATGAATTTCTTTCCTCTTTTGTAAGAAACAGTCAGATTCCCACCTTTGCAGTCAAGGAAGATGGTCTACCATTTAAGAGGCCTAGTCAGGCACCATGGTATATGTTGCAGGAAGCAACACACATTAGCTGGAAACATATTCTGCTAATTTTTAAGGAAAAGGCAGTGAGTGTCCTCTCCTGGCACACAGCCATCTTGCTTCAAGTCAACAGGATGACTCTTGTAACCACCATATGGTTGCCATCATTCCACTTCCCCTGCAGCATGACTCAAGCAAGTAATGGCAGGACTTAGTACTAACTAACCAACCTCACAAGCACATGCACAAACAGCAAGCCTACAAAAACTATTTAAATTAATCAAAATAAGTCACCAGTCAGTTTTTAAAACAGAATTAATAATACAATTAAAAAAAATATTATATATATATACATACATATATACATACATATATACACACACATACACACCTCTATCCCGATATAACGCTGTCCTCGGGAGCCAAAAAATCTTACCGCGTTATAGGTAAAACTGCATTATATCGAACTTGT